CTCCTTAATATGTCTTTGCCCTATAATTTCATGTTCAATCAACACTTATTTTCAAAGGAGCTCAACTTCATCCCTAGGAGCCTGGCGGATTTGTACAATAAATGTCCTTATTTTATGGCTAAGATTTGTTCCCTATTTAGCATGCAGTTGTTTCTGTGTGATGTGTGGGGAGGTGAAGTGGTGAATTTAAAAATGGAACAGCACTACAGTATGTATCCTTCTGAACTGACTATTACAAACAATAAAATAACCCGTATTGCTGGATTAATTTCTATGCAATCTTATTTCATCACACTACATTTGCCAAACAGATAGGCTGCTTTCTTTCTCACAGTAATTAACTAACTAGCTGAATACCCGTGCTCTGCTACAAAACTATGTGATCGGGCTTGATAAATCGACACATGAAAATTAATGATTAGTTACCATCAGAGCCGAGGTGGCGCAGTGGTTAGGGTGCAGTACTGCAGGCCACTTCAGCTGACTGTTATCTGCAGTTCAGCAGTTCTAATCTCACTGGCTCAAGGTTGACTCAGCCTTCCATCCTTCCAAGGTGGGTGAAATGAGGACCCAGACTATGGGGGTGATATGCTGACTCTGTAAACCGCTTAGAGAGGGCTGAAAGCCCTATGAAGCAGTATATAAATCTAACTGCTATTGCTATTGCTATTGTGAAAATGTGAGAAATGGCAATAAATTCCTTTTATTCAGTGCAACTTCGAATATTCACTGAATGAATGGTTGTAAGCCAAGGCCTACCTGAAGAATCTCCTCATTTCATACTTCGCATCTATTATACACTTTTTACAGAATAAAATGAATTCATGGATATGTACTGCATATCCCAAATGTTAAATCCATGATTAGACATGAAAACTAATATAGGATTTCTTTTTCTCCTTTATTTTTTAGTGGAAACCTGGATAAGCAAACAGTGTTGGGGAATACAGCTCTACATTATTGCAGTATATATAACAAGCCAGAGTGCTTGAAGTTGGTTCTGAAGGGGAAGCCAACTTTGCATATAGGTGAGTATGTTCTCTTCACTATTAGTCAATAAAAAGTACTGGAAGTATATATTCACAGACATACATACATCTGTGTGTGTCTGTGAATATATACTTTAAATATTCTCTGTCTCTGTCTGTCTCTCTGTCTGTCTGTCTGTCTCTCTGTCTGTCTGTCTTCCTCTCTCTCTCCCTCCCTCCCTCCCTCCCTCCGTATCTATCTATCTATCTATCTATCTATCTATCTATCTATCTATCTATCTATCTATCTATCTATCTATCTATCTATCTATCTGTATATATATAAAGGCTTTGTGTGTGTGTTCCAGCTTAACTTGGTACACAGATGACTTACTATCTGGAAACAAATATTGTTGGGGTAAGACACCCCTAAAACCCCTTGGGGTGTGTGCTCTGTTAAGACACAGCCTGTTGTGCCTTAAAATGTCTTCTATTGTACCTGCCGTAAAAATAGCTTCTACTGTACAGCGCAGTGGAGTTGCCATGGTAACAGCTTCATAATACTCCACAAGGGGGCTCTCTTTGGTAAGGAGGAAAATCCAACATTAAAGATTATGTTTGGTCCGGACATTTTGCCCTTATAAATAAATACTGGGGCAATGCCGGGTTGTCGGCTAGTTCACTATAAAATAGGCACATTTGACTGGAAGTAATTACCAATATTCCTCTAGTAATTACCCTAAAAAGCTTTTCCCAATGTGCAATCTCCTGATGATTCTCAATTTGCATTTTGTTCATATTTCAGTTAGGCCTTTGATGATTTACCTCAGCTGTCACTGCTTTTGAAGCTAACGTTAAAATAAGATGCCCTTGATCAAAGGGTTGAATAATGGAACAGTTTTCAAGTGCGGTCCCAACATTCATAAATGAAATATAATATGGGAAGGACCATAATTTGTAATTCTGTTTCTTTGATTCCCCTATCTAGTTTTTACACCGGTAATCAAGAACCCAGTTTGTGCCTACTTGCTCACATGGTCAGAAGCAAAACATGATTTTCGTTTTGCCAATTCGCCATCTTCGAAAAATTATCTTGTATTGTTCTTCTGAAGTGTGGTCTTTCTGACTCACACATAAATTTCCATGTATTCTAATTGCAGGTAGCCCTCAACCTACAACCACAATTGAGCCCAGAATTATGGTTGTAAGCAGGGGTGAAATGCTACCGGTTCGGGCCGGTTCGCCCGAATCAACAGTGCCTCCTTCCTGTAGTTTTATATATATATGTGTGTGTCTGTGTGTGTGTGTGTTTTTTTTTATTTGTGCTGATAAATAAATAAAAAAACACATATATAACAAAGGCAACAGTAAAAATATTGGGTTTCTGTCGTGATGGACTCTTGTGACGAGCCGATTGACAGATGATGGAGGCGGTTGGCTTCCTCCCATAATTGGGGCTTACCAGGGGTTGTGGCTATATATATATATGTGTGTGTGTGTGTGTGTGTGTGTGTGTGTGTGTGTGTGTGTGTATATGTGCTGTCACACCCCCGGGCACCCCACACCCGGGGGGGGACA